TTGAATCTTTGTCCATAATCAAAATCTATCAAATTTTGAAGTTGTGATACTTGCTTTTACTGTAATTAACTGTAGAATGGCAAACGTTATTTGCCCATGCGTATCACATGTATCACATGGTTCTGGGTTCTGTTTATGCATGATCGATGTTGTTGCGTGATTCGTTAGAGTAGCAGGTCGTGAGTAGTAATGATAGCTAGTTAGGCCTAGAATATTTTGAGTCAATATCGGCTTTTATTATTGATTGAATAATAGATAAATAATTATGCTCACTATATTCTAGTATATTAAATTAATATTTAAATTTGAATAAACTAAAATGATTGTTGAAACTCATACGGTCAGAAATTTAACGCATAAAATATACAGATGTCTACGCAAAAAAATGGGGATTTCCCTAGGCAATACATTGTTTTGATGAGAGTTTTCCTGGAGAATACAAGTATTTCCAGTTGTTTGTTGTTTAATAATTGGCTGATAAAAGTTTGAAATTTCTTTATTTTAATGTTTGCAAATATGTCAATGTTTCAAAATAGATAAAAATTTAACATTTTGGAAACAGTTTGGAGATTAAAATAGGCATTACAGTACTTCGAGAGGGGTTTATTTCAAATGAGGCTCTGGAGTGAGAGTTTATTTAAGTGGAAGGCAGGGAAGGATTTGAGAGGGGGAGACTTGTTTCCTCCGCGCGCACACAACCCCCCCTACCCGATTACTGATTGCCTAAAAATGCCTCAGAAGTTATTTCCGGGCGTCTAGAAAACAAACTTCCCGGGGCATGCTGAATCCCTTTAGGGTAGCGTTGTCTCTCAATCGCGTGCCCCTCTACTTCGGACACCTGGATCCACCCCTGGGGTAGGGGGCGTCTATTCAAAGCTGTGAAATTTTCAAGTAGAGCAATTACTCTCCTTAGTAATCCGAGGAGAGCAATTTAGTGCTCTCCTGCGTTTTACATACGTGATGGACTGCTACAGTATAAAGAAAGAATAAATGATGGAGGAACATGACTAAGAGACAGTGCAAACAGAAAGAATTTTTAAAAATATTGGGACGGTCACAGAAAATTAATTTTTTCCCATTGAACTTACCCTCAAGTTGGATGTAGAGTAACATCTCCCAATTACGTACCCCTCCGTCCGAACAAAGTTTATAATTGAGAAAATTCCTAATTCAGAATGTTCAAATTTTCATAGCATCTCAGTGTGGTGTGGGTAGGCATAGGCATTAGTCAAAGTACAAAGCTAGGTAGGCCTAAGCCTTGACATGGGAGCGAAACTCTTTATTGTACTCTTTGTTAAAACTAAAAACATAGCTGTATTTGTTTTACATAAATATCTGATCCAATGGAAGTATTGGATGGGACTATTCTGACCTTAGATCTGGTTTCTTTGTTTTTTTTTATAACATAGGCCTATACATGTATACGTGTTCAGATATTTTTAAATTAAATATCATCAAATGTGTAATTAATTACAATCAAAAACCATTTATTATGTGTATTGTAAATATGGAATTAAACTGGAATTATTTGGTGTAAACAACAAGGTTAATAAGACTTTCTCTTTTGAGCATATTTTTAGTGTCGAAAATTAGATTTTTGAACTAATCCTAATAAATAACCAATGTATTATGCAGCAATTACAATTCTACGCACATTTTTGAGGTATAATCCGTCAATTAAAATAAGGGCTGGTTTCTGTGCAGATTTTGCAGAAAATTAGGCTTTGTCCTACAGTAATCTTAATGTATAAATAATGTATTTATTTATGCAGTTTTTACAAATCCGCACACCAATTTTCCCTGTGATTTTCCGCACAAATTTGACCTGGTTTTTGAGATATTATCATGCTCGCAATTAAAAAACTTTACAGTATGGCTCCATCTTAATTCTTAGACTGAAAAAATTAAATCTGTTCTCTTTTTCTTATCAATATCACTCCCAAACTCGGCTCGATTACGAGGACTAATTCTAATAATATAGACATTCTACCTAAGGCCTTTTGTTAGGGCCTACCAGAAACTTTTTACTACCAGTATCACTCACTGCCAGGCCTAGCCAAGCCGTCTACGTAGGCCAGGCCTAGGCCCCTACCTACTGTAGCTAGGCCTAGGCTAAGGCAAGGTTGATAATGACCCGACTTTTTTTATGATTGTGTTGGAATAACATATAAGCTTACTGCCACTTGTCACATTACTAGTTATAGTTGGAAATGTAAACGGTCTACTGAATGAAAACGTTGCAATAACTCACACAGACAACCAAGAACATAAAAAGGTCTGGCATCGCCTCCATTGAAAAAAACGACACTTTTTCTCGAACAAAATTGGATTGCGAATGAACATGCCTTAAGATCATATAAATACATAAAGAATACCATTGCACAACCGTACATTAATGGATATGATATTTGTCTTTATTTATCCTCATATTAAGTATACGTATGTGTTAATTTAATAACGTAAAAGCGTTGGAATCATAGAACAAATTAACAAAATCATACTCACATGTAGACCGCCATTTTGAACTGAGCAACAGCCCGCTGCGCGCACCCGGATGATCTCCAGAATTGTATACTGAATACAAAACAGCGTTCTGCTTAGTTAGTCACTCAACAAAACTGTTTTAAATCCAGTAATCAACAATTGGTAAAGATATATTTTTAATTTCGAATACATTTAATTATACAATTATTATCCAAATTTATTAAAACAAACTTCAAATCTATCCGATTATTTACAGTCATTTACACGTACCTCGACATACAGCCTAAAGAGGGCGTGTGCTAGTTTTCAAGTACAGTCAGTCTGTCAGTAAAGTAATACAGTAAATTAATGATAAAACTATGCTACTACTGGAATACTGTATTTTGCTTGCAGTGTGTGTACGAAGAAGCTAAAGTATTGTAGCTCCATTGTACTGTATGTACGGCTGTTATATAACTACAGTATATGATAGTAGGTGTACTGTTCTGTGATACCAAGGCTGATATGGTACTACTGTACTTGTAATTTATTTAAAATAAAATTACGCCTTCTGGAATATTCCATACTACCTGTATATATCAAGGTTAAAAATTTTAACCTCCTTGTATATATATAGCCAGGGAACAGTGAAATTTCACTGTTCCCTGATATAGCCTAGCACTGGTAAATTCAAAATACTCCTCCTGGTATTTAAACTGGAGGAGGTGTGGTGGTAGAGAGTGCCTACTTCAAGTAAAATAAATTTAATATTTTTTTTAAATGCTACTTTGTTTTAGTAGATAGGAATAGGGCCTATAGCTCACCCTACCATAATTAAATGCTGCAACCAACAGGGGTCCCAAGTTCGAAGAAATCCCCTGTAAGATCTGGTTATAAATAAGCTTCCGTTACAGGCTGGCTCCATACGTGTGTGTAGGCCAAGGCCCTAGTCTAGATATACAGGTACTTAATTTTATTTTACTGTGCATGGTAATACCCATCATTCTAATTATTATTTACAATTCAGATTATCCTTAAATATTATTTACAATTCAGAAGTGATATTACTATTTACAATTAAAGTTTTAAATTATAAATTAAATCATATTACATACTACAAGGACTGATAAGGTTCATAAAATATATAACAACAATAAAAAGGGAAATTTAATAATTAAAAACCTTAAAAATGTCATAATATAAATAATAATGGATAATTGAAGAGATCAAAGGCTGATAAATGACAACGTGGAATTGGTAGGTGTCTACGATATTCTTATTATGGTAAGCCATGATTAGTTTCAGGCAACATTTTTATGATGAATTTTCTGGAAGTAAATCATAATTGTAAATTAAATGTTATCCTAACAATCAACTCATGAAAAACAGTGTTACCCAAGCTAAGATTGTGTGGTGTCCACTGTGACTGGTAGAAAACCAAAATCCTGTTGACATGCCTCATTGGTCAGATCCAGCCAGCCAACCAACTAAAAATATGGAAAATCTAGGGTTGACTTTGCTGTACCCTTTTTTGCAACTAGATTTTGTTTTATTTTGATTTATTTTGTTTATTGATAAACCCATACTTGTTTGTAGACCGTCAATCATGAATATTTATTAGTATCCCTGCTGTTATGAATATTTATCATTAGCCCTGTTGTACCATTTTAAGAACCAAAATATGTGGGGTGAGTGATGGTTGGCAATGAACCCTAGAATTAGAGCTGAACCAGCTAAAACCTAGTTACGCCACTGGATATAACATGCAGGTTGATTATGTGCCAAAGAGAATAAGGAGCTTTCAATTCCACGACACGGTAGAATCTAGAACATAATGACGTCATTAATATTTCATCTGCGCATGCGAGAACTTCAAGTTCTCCTCGTTATGTGAATTTAGGATGCAGTTTGACCAAATCTACATTACAGAGAACGTAATATGGTCACACGAGTGAGTGAACATGTTTTAGAGTCACATGGGCGTCGATCGGTGTGACAGGGGGAGCATGTCCCCCACTTACTGTACCCTGTAAATTTTATTTGCATTCCTTAAAATTAATTAGATATTTGACTTTTAAAATACTATGGACGCCCAAACTTCTGGGGACTTTGCCTCCTGGACCCCCACTTTCCCCCAGCCAAAGCAGGCCTAAGACTTCCTTTTTTTTGCAATTCGTCCCCCTCCCCACTTTTCGTCCCCACCAATGGATTGATCCCCTTGTAGAGTCACGTCGTCCCACAAATCAAAAGCTCCCTAATGCAAAATAATTACCCTGATTTACAGAAGTTCGGGAAACAAAACATTTTCAGACTTATGAATGCAGTTGTGAAAAAGCCTGACAGAATAAAGGATGGCTCACTTTTCTCTTTTACACAGGGTAACTTGCTACTCTGCTGGATAACTTGGTACTTGCTGGGTAACTCGCTACTCTGCTGGGTAACTCGCTACTCTGTCTGCCCAACTTGCTACTCTGCTGGGTAAATATTTGGCAGTGGCCCAAAAGGTGTTTTCTAGAGACAGATACATAAACAACAAGTACACTGTATTTCTGTAATTTTATTTCATTTAAACAGGATACTAACACTAATGCACAGACATCCAGCCCTACAAGTGATTTGTAACTGAAACTGTATCCAATTATGGTTCTCACGTTCATAACAAGTTAAAAAAATATCACAATCATAAAACAATTAAAAATATTTAATCAACACAACATTCAATGTTTGAAACTTTGTCATGAATATTAGCAATATCTTACATTATGATTACGCATTTTCATTTACCTGTTTATACATTGCCTATGTAATTTTTTTAAATATTTATAAATTGTTTGGCATCTACAGTATTAAAAAAATCTTAAGTAAAATCTGAGTTGCAAGTTATTGAAAAAGTTTGATTGAATGACCTTTCATATGAAAAGAAAACTTAAAATATACAGTAATTTAAAAAAGATATAGCATGAAATATTACAGTGCACCCTCCAATTCGAGACCCCTCGAATTTGAGACCACTTTTCCAAAGACCCAAATAACAATCTTCAACCTTTTAACACAAAGCTAGCCTTCTCATTGGAGACCAACCCCGAGACCACCAGAAATTTTCAGGTCCCAAAGGTGGTCTCGAATTGGAGGGCGTACTGTTATTTAAAGACCTAGTATTGATATATAAAACTCAAAATGATATATTTATGGTTCATAGAGGTAATCTAATCGGTCATTACTACAGTATGCCTTTCTACAATGGCTTACCGGTAGTCAAGTTTATGGTGAACCCATGGAAGTAGGCCTAATAGACCAAAAGGTGTTTATATTTTCTGCATCTGTCTACTCAAGTTTTTGGTACCAATAGGTTCTTGATATGTACACAAGCACTGCAAATTAGGATTGCACCTACTAGACAGAATACTTGTGGTAAAACAATATTTTACCTGCCTCACATAATGAAACAGTTATATTTTAAACTTGGGTTCAACAAACTTTTGACTAAATGTTGCTCAAATTGAAATGAGGTACAATTACTACATGATGAAAACATAACACACATTATATACTTTATATGAAAACAATTAACACTAACAAGCAAACTTCATATCATATAAACCCTATGATTATCATAATTATAACTCAACTACAACTATATACTGTACCAGTAGAGTATCAAAATATGCCAAATCATTCATAGAAATCAAAATAGTGTTTATTTGAAATGTTAATAACTAACTATGAGATAAATTAAAAGAAATTGTTTAGAAACATCTGGCATACTGGGAATGCAATGCTGAATAAAGTAGTATGTATACGATCCATGGGGCTAGTTTTGAATGGAATAACCTACACATTCTCATACAACGTATTGCTTTACTGTTACATATTATTATTATAGAACAACAGACTTTACTGCTGGGAGTTAGGGGAAGATACAACTAGACAAACTGTGCAAATAACTTATGTATATTTGTTGAGCTGTTGTTGCCGTCAGTAAATAGCATGTATGGGCGCCCTCCAAACATGACAACATGCGCAAAAATTGGACAAGAAAACTCACACTTGGCACAGGCAATAAAAAATAGTCCTATTACCAGCGATTACTCATCGTCTAATATTTTCCTACCAATTTATTACATACCATTGTGATGATTTATGACTAGATATAATTTGTAACAAGAGTGACCGTTCACCAGTCTTAAATTTGAATATCAAGATGCGATTCCAACTTACGACCTTTGGTTTCTTAGAACACATCGTTAACCGACCGCACCATGCATGTGACAAGTCTTATTAGTGGTAATTGCAGTAATGTACAGTCCTTGATGAAACTCAGTTTTGTTTTGTAGGTGTATTGGGCTCCCTGGGTTTCAACTTTAAAAAAAGGGTCATGAACGTTTGTTGGAAATCACCTCTAGTTTATGTGTACAAAATTTCCTGCACGTCCGTTTAAAGTTCTGGTAACAACAACAGCAGTGAGAAAAAGTATGTTTTCATGTGTAAACTTGTAAACAAGACAGAAATTGTACAAAAGCCAATGAACATCATTGAAATAAAAAACTAATAGTTTGTTCTATTCACTCAAACACTTGAATATCATCTTGTATTGAAAGTGCCTTCATTTGGTCAGTTATTCAATTAAACAAAATATACTCTGTACATTACTAGTCCGCTGCTGTGTTTTAATCATTTCAAGAAATTTCATATTCATTTTAATACTGTTAATATTACAGTTTTCCCAAATCTGTCATGAATCATGATGCTACATTTCTGTGCACAAAGTTAATATCTAAATTATATAAAATAAAGTTAATGTTGAAGTACAAAAAGAAACAAATGGATTAAAATGAAAGATAGATTTATAGGAAAGAGGAATTCAACTCCCTCTCCAATCTTTCCTTAATTTTTTTAAGCAGGTGAAATAAAGGAGGAATTTATAGAATCCCACATAACTGAGTAATACTGATGAAAAAAAAAATCACACTGCTTTATGTAAATGGTGCAAGGTCTGAAGTATTTATGAATGCTAGATTCACTATCCCCTCTATCACAATCCCCTGAGTATGCCAAGCTCCCTATATAGTCAGAGATAACTTGATCTACCTCTACTAAAGATAAATATCCAAAAAATTATGTAAAATTAAGTGTATATAGAATAATAATACAAAAAAATTAGATGTTAGTAAATTTAGCTTTTACTTGACATCTCAAGGTCAATGAAATGAGAAAAACGGGAAAAAAAAACAATTGAATACCAAGCGAATATTAGCTACTGGCAGTCAGAGTAATTAAATAGTGTTTGTTGGCACATCCACGTTTTTCTCTGCCTCAGTATTATCAACATCACGTTTGTTACCAAAAAGAGATGTTTCTTTGTAAACAAACCAACAATTGCCACCCCACACTACAGCATTCAGGAAACCGAACAACTGAAACAAAAAATATATATTTGATTGTTTTTATAAGATGTATTTAGTAGTTTAATTCTTCTCTCAAGAACTTGACAAAATTGCATAATAATCATATCAAGTATACAGCCCTTCAACAAAGTTACTTTTTAAGAAAAAAAAGTTTCTCTAAACAAAATGTATACAAATAAATAATAACAATAATGCTCAGATAGAATATGAGATGTTACAATCTTATCAAAAATAGCCCTTCAACAACAAGTTCTGTTTTCAGTTGGATGAAAAGAACACTGTCTTAACCGGATTCGAATCTGCAACTTCAAGGCAAATATCACACAATTAGACCATAATATGAATGTATCACATTGATGCATACTCTAAATTTGTTGGACATGCAGACTCATCAATTTGTTTATATATATTGCCTATGCTTTTAAATTTGTGATCATCATTAATGACTCTTACCAGGGAGACATTGAGGGATGCAAAACTGAGGGGATCCGTGAGTTTACAGGTGTTATTAGTGTTCATACACTCAGCAGATAACACATCCTCTTGAATATTGTCAAAATCTGTATGAGTTTTCACCTCATTCACACCAGCTGCCCATACACAAGACGAGATGAAGAAGAACAAAGTGAAAAAGCAGTGAATGACAAAGTCCTGAAAAAAAGTCCAATAAAATGATAAGAAACAAGGAAAGTGACTTAAATGAGCAAATTAATCATTATATGATGACTTTATTACTTTAAATTAGTTTGTACATTTCAAATTTTCCTTAAATTTGCAATAAAGTCATTTTGAATCATATGTAC